GAGTCTTAAGATTACTGCGCTCTGCAGTCACAAAGTCAAAATGTTGTGTCGCTTGCTTACAATAATCTTTTCTTCGATTATTGTGTTTTCGGACCAAGGTAGGAGGCAATCAACCTTATATATATATATATATATATATATATATATAGTGAAAGAATGATTCCTCTTTTGATTTCAGTGATAACCTTGAAATGCCATCAGTGCCATAATTTAGAAACGAGCGATTGCTATAAAATTGATGAGAGGAAAATTACATCATTCCTAAAGGAATGCCCATCAAATACATTAGCTTGTGCGGTAAAATTAAAGAAAGGTATTTAAAAATTTCTCCTTTCCCCGAAATTATATTTTATTATTGAAAAATTACGTTTGATTACGATACAAAATTTAGCCGGCATACCCGAAATATTTCGTGAGTGTGCCGACAATTCTTGGCTGTGTGACGCTCGTAAGTTTAAATGTGACAAATGTAAGGAGGACGGGTGCAATTCGGCGAATGACATTAAAACTAATGTGCTTATGTCTTCAATTACTTATCTTTCAAAATATTGGACAGTTGGTGTGTTAGTGTTTGTTATTATTGTGCTTTTAGTTTTGTGGTGTGTACTTAAATTACGTTCCGATGCAAATTTTGATTAATTGCAAAGAATTAAAAAAATGAAACTTAATTAATAAATGAAGAGTAATTAGATGCGCATTGTTTCTATTTAAAATTTTGCTCAGATTCTTCTAACATGAAAGTGGGTAATAAATTCTACAAATGTTGGATTTCATTTCATTTTTATAATAAGCTTTGAAGTTCTTAATGTGTTTCAAATTCAGGGAAGCATGCATTCGGAAACGGGTAAATTAGAACTTCGAAGTCTAAACTTAAGAGACAATAATGCCAAGCAATAATTTCTAAAGTAAATATATTTTACAGCAGCATTGTATTCCAAGACCGGATTAGCCATATTCGTCCATATGTCTCTCTATATATAGTGTTTTCCTTTTTAACCATTCGTCCTTCCAGTTCTCTCCGTTTACAGCGTAAAAAATTAAGATTGAAAGACAAAACTTATTTCAATCCCAAAGATCAATTTTGGAGAAAGAGTGAACCTTGACGGTAAGGAAGGCGGTTGACCAAAACAGCCAAATAGCATATATGCGACAGCGGCTTTGAAGGACCGCAAGCTGCGCTTTTGCCAACTATGCGATGCGCTCTCTACGTATTTCCACAAAACCTCCTTCTGCCTGCATAAAAACTTATAAAATAGTACATTTTTGGCTTTCTGCAGTGGGGGCATGACCAATCTAATGCTTCCAAGAACGCCTTTAACTTCAAAGATCTACTGGAGATATATGAAAGAAAATCATTTTTGCGTCGCATCGTCGTAAAATTAATGTGATTTAAAAATGCGAGGCGTAAAAGATGATAAATTGATCCAGGCGAAGTATTGGTATTGGCCAAATCATTGCAGGTGAAAGAAATGTTTTTGTTTGATAGGAGCAGAAACGTATAGTGCATTATTGGTCGCAAAAACCTGGTTGAAAGATTAATACGCGACGCTATCAATAGCAAATGATCAACATTAACTTTATATTGGTCAAAAAATCCCCGGTATAAGATACTTTGTAACTGAATCTTGTTTCATCAGTATACGTAACAGAACGATTGAGAACGGTCGGTATTTGAACCGATCGACATTGCGATCGTCACGATTAAGTCGAAAAAAGGCACAACAAATGTCTCGACAAATGCGTGAAAACTTAAACGGTTCGTTTTGGCCAATGGAAAATGTGCAGATGGCCATGAATCTTATGTCAAATACAATATATGTTTGCCTTAAAAGAAGTCGAGGATTTGTTTCCTTATGATTAAAAACTATGCATAATACGCTTTACCTGTGTGTTGCTTTTTACTAATTGTAGGCGTACATATAATTCGATTTTGCTTATTTTCGGACCTATTCTGAAGAAAAATGCAAAAAAAAAAAAGCCAGATTTTCGAATATGATGTGAAGAGAAATATAAGAAAGCTGAGAGATAAGCGGACTTTTGTCGATTTTCGAACAAGGGAATGGAAAAAAAGCAGAGACAGATTGTTGAATTTAAGAAGAAACGTTCTTGATTTTGAAATTTAATGTGAAGATATTGATAAGAAAATGAATATACGGACAGACAGGGTCGATTTTTTGAAATTAATCTAAAAGAAAAAACTTTGATCGGTATCGAACTGCAAAAGACGGTGACGTAGACAGACGCATGGATGTATAAGTTAATCTCCGAAAGAAAGCGGCAGAAATGATAAGGAAATGATGCGAAAGGCAGGCAGATGGATAAAATTAAATTGGATTGAATCTCTTCCAAAGATTTTTGGACGAAAAGTTCTCTTACGCCTTTTTTACAAGCAAACCTTACGCTTTTTTAGAGGAGATGTTGAATTACACAGTCAGAATTTCGATTATTCGCGAATGCTATTCCGTACAAAATAATAGACTATAGTCAGCTTAACTCTTAAAAGAATTTAAAATAAGTTCGTTTACACCAGCGCAGAACGAGTACCGCTATGAAAGGACACGGGATAAGGATAACGTATTCAATACTCGACGCATTATGAAAATTGATTTCAATTTGCATTTGCAATCAGTTGTGATAAAAATTGAATCAAGCTTTACGTTCAATTTCATTGAATTTACGTAAAACATTTTCAAAACTCTTCATTTAATTAAACCGAACACATAAATATATTTTCCCTTAAATTTTAAAGTGAAAATTTACGTTGTTTTTCCCGAAAAAATAAAAGCAATAATTTAAATTGATTGCCACGATATTAAGTAAACCTTAGTAGCCAACATCGGTGTAAACAAAAACAAATAAAACAATGTGCGAAAAAAAGCGTTTAATTGGATGCCACTCAATTGCAGAAGCAACAGTACTGCAGTAAAACCGATAAATCCGGACTTGTCATCAATGCCATCATCATGTGATTAAACCGCAGATATAGTTGTGTTCTAACGTCAATCGATACAAATCTCATTCTAAATTGCATCACATATGGAGTGAAAAGAAATATTGGCAGATTATTTAACACAAATGCACTTCCGTTTATACTCGGCCACCTTTCGAACGCGTTTGGCAACCGCTAACATTTTCGATAACCATTTACCGCTTTATTTTTGCTTTGGAGCAGGCTTGAAACTCTATGCAACTCTAGATGTAAATATTTTAAAGCTGTAAAGTGCAATTTCTCCAGCTTCCATTGTACCCTTAACGAACATTAACAAACATTATTTGCGTACAAGCCATAACAGCTCTTCAGTTCTGATTATATTTGTTATGAGCTTTGCTTTTTGTATTTTTGTTAACAAATTTTTTTTCGCTTTTTATTACCTTTTACCTGTTTTGCTCTCCGTTATAGAATACCAATTCCTTCGGTCTCGATTTACGCCATTCATTTATCCCTTTTAGCAAAAAGTCGCTACGCCGCTAAACACTGTGCATTCAATTGGAAGACCTGGCCGTCCACAAACCTAATCGCGCTTGTGTTTATCCGTAACGCGGCTAACACATCAGAAAATATTTCATACAATGTGATTAAACGAACTCTCCGCCTTAACTAGAGTATAGAAGAGTTGCATTGTTTGCTTTCATATTTGTGCAGTGTTACCTTGACAGCAATGTTCTTAACAGCCTATACGAAAGAAAAAACGCTCACAGTTACAATGACTTACCATCATTCCATTCATAATATTGTCAAATATTCATTTGTAAGTCGTTTTACCAGGCTTTCCTAAATGAGCTCAATATCAGACGATTCGCATTTGTAAAGAGCATCCAGTGCTCATTATGTTTTATTCATAACTTATTTTAATTACTAATTATCGAAGTTACTCTGGTAATCTTATGTCATTCATGAATGGGTGAATGTGCCCAATACCAATCCGTTTCAAATTTAACAAAGCGAACTTATCAGTCAAATCATAACTTTGTAGCAACATTCATTACACCGAAATACAAGAACGTTCAAAAAATGAGCTCATTTCGTCCAAGCTGTTCACTTCCACTCAGTATGCCAACAAGTTAAAATAGTGCCCTTTTGTCGTATAAAAAAGCTTTCAAAATACGACTTTATGACGGGAGTGACAGTGCACATCCACTGAATTTTTAATGGACTTTATATTTAGGTTCATATCCGTACAATGCAATCCGCACAACACAAATAGTGTCTTGTATGTAGAAATTACCACTGAATTGGATTCAATTATTTTATACTTACCGTATACTTAGTTACTTGCCTTTGCAGCTTTTTATCCAAATTATGTTTTTTGAAGAACGTCTGAAGACTGAATTTAATATGCTTTGTAAGAATTCTACAGCGAAGCGTAACATTAAACGTTAAGTCATCATCTCGAGACATAGCGTAGCTGAGAACCAACGTAAAAAGACGCAGACGCGGTGAAAACTTCAGCAACAACTCGCTGTAAAGACTATGGGTATCAGTTGAAGAAACAAAATCTCAATTTTCTTTTTTTTTCATTATTCTTTTCTTTCTCTCCTTCAACTATATTATTATTATAATGCTATAATTTAACCCTTCCATCTTGAATTGTGTTTTATTCAGCCGAATCTATTCTATATTGTGACTGAATTCTATACATGAATGACTAAATAAATTAATTATAGCAAATATGTTGAAGCGTGGCAATATTTTTACGTGAGAGAGCAATGTATACCTTATGTTATATATACTTTATGTACGTTATACATGCATACATATATATATATATGTATATATATATATATATATATATACGTTTTTAAACCCTAATCTAGTTCACTTTGACAACTTGTCAATTTTTGAGAGGACGTAAAAAATTACAAAATATATGTATACAAGAATATTACGCAAATTGCGAAAAGCCATTTTAATTTCTACGAAACTTTGAAGGACCACAGACAGCCTTAGCGTAATTAGGCGAATTCCGTATATATAATATCTACTCACAGATACGAGAGAAGGGGAGACCAAGAATCACTCGTGCAGTGAAAGTTATATGAGTTATTCATTTCGATTAAGAGGTATAGACAATCCAAAAGAGAAGAAGAATTCGCATCGATAGAGATAAAAAATTAAGAAAAAAATATTTCAAAAGTAGAGTCGTAACATGGCTAGTTATGCAGTCAAGCGAATTAGTCGTGAAGTCAAAGAAATAATGTGCAGTGAAGATATATTGAAATGTGCGATCAAAGTAGAAATGATCGATGATAACTGGACCGATTTACGCGCCGAAATAGCTGGACCGCCCGGTACACCATATGAGGGTGGAAAATTTGCACTTGAAATCAAAGTGCCCGATAAATATCCTCTCAGTGCACCAAGGGTACGTTTTGCCACCAGAATATGGCATCCGAATGTATCTTCAGTTACTGGAGCTGTGTGTTTGGATATTTTAAAAGCCAACTGGACCGCCACGATGACCTTGTGCAGCATTTTACTGTCGCTGCAAGCTTTATTAGCCGCCGCTGAGCCCAATGAACCTCAAGATGCCATTGTAGCGTCCCAATTCAAAGATAAGAATTTATTCGAAATAACCGCTCGACATTGGACTAATGTTTATGCAGGAGGTCCTCATAGAGAACCGGATTGTGACGAAAAAATTCAACGTCTGCGGGATATCGGTGTCAACGAGCACGATGCTCGCGTTGCCTTGTCAAAAGAAAATTGGGATTTGGCAACAGCTGCCGGAAGACTGTTCAGCTAGCTTTACTGCTATCAAAGGCTTGCTGGCATGAGCATTTCTTTTTTGGCCAATGAGATTACAAAATCAGTAGCCATGGTCGCAATAAATAAAATTTAAAGAAAAAAAAAATATTATGCCCATAAATCGTCTAGCGTACAAATATATGGCCTTACTTGCTTCTCGCTCAAAAAGGGAACAATGACAAAAGATAAATTATTATTTTTTATTTTTTTGGTTTGGATTATATGAATTTTTTTAATTTTTTTCTTGATTTCGTTTTTCGTGTTTCAATAATATACATATATATTATAGATAGATGACATGGATAATAACGCTCTAAAGTCGACGAATATTCAGCCGTTCACAAAGCCTAACAAGACTTGCACTTTATTGACGCAACACTGCATATGCCTAGTTGGGGGTTGTATTACTTTGCGTTAAAAAATATACTATCGAGAGAGAAGCGTGATGGACAGTTGGCTACGGGTTTCCCGTTTAATTGCTCTTTTAAGTATTCTGCAGTCATTATACCTAATCCAACTTGGTTTCGTCAAATGATACTTGCAATTTCGAAGCTTTTCTTTGAAAGAAGAAACTATCACTTGCTTGGAAGTGGTTTAAAGTCTAACATTTAATTCGTAATTGTCTCGTTCCCACACTGTGATGGAATGTTTGAATTATGTTTCACGATTTCATGTGGCTTTCTCGAAATTCATCCGCCGCTGAGTTAAGACCTCATATTCAAGGTGTTCGATCAGCAAACGCCGAAATAAATTCACTTTTGTATTATAGTTGAGCTTACCTTACTTTATTCCGCAAACAGCGTTTTGATACCGTAATTGTGATATCTATTGACTGATAATTGGTATTATTATCTTCAAAGGTTAGAAAAGTACATAATTCGTGGGGTCTTTTGGGTGTTGGCATGAATTTGAAAAAACTTTAAATAACAGATAAAGAATTTTCATATTCTTATTAAGAGAGCGCGAGCTAATGACTCGCTTTGTCAAAGTTAGAAAATTAAGTAAAAAAATAGAAGTTTTTCCCCTTTCGACCTTCTGAAGCATGTTTATCGATTGTAAAACAAGTTTTACCTGAGAGAGGGAGATATTCTTAGCTTCATTGATTCTGGTCTTCATATTGACGAAAAATATTCACAGCTTGTAATCACGAATTAGAACTGCTTACCAAGCCGAACAAATTAAATAATCGGTTCGTTTGCTGGCTTGGGGAATACGTACCATAGGTATATAGAGCAGTAGTGGTCATACAAGTTTTGGTTGCGATCTGGGGGGTATATTGTGACGTTGTGTGACTGGTCCCAACGCCATCATCACGCACCACAAAACAAGATGTTTCAGTTACGCAACCAAGAAACAAAATACCCTATGACTTGCAACGTCTCTGTAAAGTTGCTCAGAATACGACTATCAGTTTCATTACCTAAATTAATTGTATAAAATCGTAAAAATATTTTCATATCAACTAATTTATTTGTTATTTTAATTTTTTTGTTTTTTTTCTTTTTTAAGACAATTAAAAATTATTCTTTTTGTTGTTTTTTACTTTTTTGCGTTTTTAATCACCCATCACCGTAGATAGGACGTATGAAAGACTTGTCCTTCCGTTTGTAAGCCTCAGAAAAAGGAGTCGAGCATAGAGAGTATTGAGTTGATTTATTTCATATGTGCATTTGCCGGTGTCTCTGACTGCAATTTGTTATTGCAATGCTCAGGCGATCGTCGAAAAAACCAAAAAGAAAGTTGATGATCACGACTCACTAATTTGCAAAGGGGAAATGACTTGCAACTATTCATAGAAACAATTCTACGAAATATCGATCCCGAGGACAAGTCCATATCGATTTCATTTCAAAGGCTGCTGACAAAATCGGATTTGATCGGTATATATAAGAAATAGAGCCTATCGTTCCGATTGATCAAAGCATGCGTCCATATTTAATGAAATATTTTGTAATTTTTTTTCACTAGTTTGCGGTAATGGGTATGGAAAACTCGCCTTACGACGAGCGTAACTTTCTTGTTCATTTTCATTGTTTTCATTGTGTAATAATTACAAAATCATACATTTTAATTAATCATGTATTAGATATTTATAACACTATCAAGCTGCAATAATAGTAATAAAAGTTTTTTTAATTACCTAATAAATGTTTAAAAAATTCATATATGTTTTATTATTATTTATGGCAAAAACAAAAGTGCATAATTGTTTGAAAATTGTTTTCTTTTTTTTTTTTTGTCCTTTTTACGAAAAGCTTTTTTTTTTGGTATAAATAATTTACTTTCGAAATATTATCTCACAGCGTTTTATTTGAAATTAATTAATGGTTTAATTTACTATGAAAAATTATGTACAAAACTTTTTACAACATATACTTACATATACATAAACACACACACACTCAGCCTCACAAACAACACTAAAACATTTTTATGAATATTTCAAATGAGAATTTTGTGGAAAGTTTAGGGCGTTCATGCAATTCGCTTTGCCTGACCTGAGTGTGCATGTGTTTTGCAATTTCTATATAGATTTTAATAAATTTAATTTATTAAAATATAACTGGATTCTGGCATGCGTTAATCTTCTGTAGTAATAAACATCATCATCATCATGATAATAAAAATTTTCGATAAAAATTCGTAGGCCACCACCATAAATTGCAATGAATACACGTAAACGTTAATGTGATTATAACTATTTTGGCTGACCGCTGTTGTAGTCGTTGTTGTGATAAAGTAAGATAGGATGCCGCTGTACTCTTTTGCATAGCCGCCGGATTTTCGTCTAGAATGTATCCAAGATCAAAAAATTTGCATTTTAACGCAAAAAACGTTTCAAAAAAAAGAATTGAAATAATAAGAACCGTTAGAATGGATTGTCTCCACGATATTTGGACGACGATACAAACAAAAACGAATGCATAACGGGAATAACGAATATATTGCATATATATATATATATATATTGCAATATATATATATGCTTCTTCTTTCTCAGGACTTTTTAACTTTTGTTTAAAGAAAACCATATCGATAGAGAATACTTGCTTTCGTCGAAAGGCGTAAACGTGCTTAAATGAGATAAGATGCTCATTTCCTTTTTTTTGCAACCACCCTAAAAAACAACTCGAAAAGATAGAGTAGAAGATTTACTGGTTGCTTCATTGAGAATATGTCCGCAAGCAAAAAAACTTGAGGGAAGAAGCGGAGTACGGTTTAAATAACTACGCGTTTATTAAGATTGCGTTTGAGGAGTCCCTTATGCTCAAAATTCATGTTATCTTAGCTCAAGAGAAAAGATCAACAATTTAATTTACGCAGCACTCGTTGGACATTTGCAAGTTTAATTTTCATTTTTTCTCTTCTGCTCATATACACATTCGCAGCGTTAGCGGTGTAAACAATGCTCTGCGTATAAGACGGAGGAAGAAACATAATTCTACTGAATGAGCATTCATGCCAACCTTTTCTTTTTTTGGTATGTTGAACAGAGATGGACTAAGCCAATATATTTGTGGCTTATATGTCCAAATAATAAATTGTTGTAATTTTTAGTCACGATTATGTATAAAACGTAACAAACAAAAAAAAAGAACGGCCGTAATAACTGGAGTGAGCATGTTAAATGTAATTGTGTGTGTGTATGCAAGCGCGCTTGTTGAGTTCTTAAAAGTCAGACAGTGTTGCAAACTTTGGCTGAAAACGAAAAGGAATGTTATGGTAATTGAAAATGATTGAACGCAAAAAAAGAAAAACAAAAAAAAAAGGAAAGAGGAGGAAAAAGAAAAATTCTAAAAGGATAAATTGGCTTTTCTAATAAAGCAAGTTAGTTCCCCGAGATGACGTACATTTTTTGCTGCAAAGAGGTCGAGGAGACAGCCATATAACTTGAAGAAGCTAAATGAATCTCTAATGCCATCAAGCCTGTGACATCTGAAGATTAGATGCTCAGCAGACTCAACAACATTGCAAACTTCACAAACATCACATTGTATAGCGCGAATCATTTTTAAATTAACTTTGTCATAAGTGTGACCACTCATGAGTCTATAAAGAATTTTGATTTCCCAGGAATTAAAGGAAGATACAGAGAAGGGTTTGAATTAAAATGTGGAATTTAATTTATAGAAAAGACGATTGGATTTAACGCGCGCGATTACTTTAAATTCATCGTTTAGCTGTTGAAGGATGTGGCTGCGAATTGCCCGAATTGCTTCATTGGGAGTATATTTGATGGACAAAATTGTCCCATCAACACGAGCTCTCCCTGCATGAAAGTCGGCTTTTACATTTAAAAAAAAGCCGCAGTGGCCAGGTACCCAAACGAGGTGACAGTCATCCACTTGAGATTCGTGCAACGTCTTGTGAATGTCAAACCCATATTGATTTTCTGCATCTCTTTTATTTATTAGAAGTAGAGCTGACCTGCTGTCGGAAAAAATAACAAAACGTCTGATACCATCGGAAATAGCAACCATGATAGCATGTCGAATGGCGAGCAACTCAATAAAAGTAGAGGAAAGTTCCTCTTCCCCTTTGACTCGAAGTATTGTTTCAGATAGATGTTTCACGACCGAGAAGCCAGATACATTACGTCCGACGGAACCGTCAGTGGCATATATATCATATCCGTTGTTGTAATAAAAAAGGAACCTTATACAAGAGAAGTTGACATTTTGTTTTGAGGTAGAGATCGGTTCGAGAATGTTCATGAAGACTTTGCATTTGCTGGTAACGAAATTCAAGGGGGGAATTGAATCTAACTTATCAAAAATATGACGAAGTTTTTGATAGCAAAAAGTATAGCTGCAAGTGACAGTATCACTGAGAGATATAATTTCCTGAAAAAAGGAAGGATTTATCATCTTGACTTTAATTAACTCCTTGGCAGTGCAAAGCAAGGGTCCCCCGTGGTTTAATAAAACAATTAAATACTACAAGAATAGGAGAAACAAGCTTTTCAAAAAATTTTCGAAAAGTGGTTCTTCTTTCGACTATTTTGCTTATTCTGTTGCAAGGCATAAATTTAATTCCCTCAACCGCCAATACTACTGCAGATACGTTCAGTTTGTTAAATCCTCCTTGTTTGCTAACCCTAAATACTTGTTTAAGTTCGTTAATTCCAAAAGAAAAATCTCCATAAATCCGTCGTTTGTGTCTTTTAATGGCTCCGAGTCCTCGGATGATTTTGAAACCTCAAATCTCTTTGCGGAATACTTCCGACAGAACCTTTCAACTGCCAATTTTGATTTATCGGTAAACTATCCATATCCGATTTCTAATTCGATTTCAATTCCTAACTTTGTTATATCTGAAAATGACGTTTTTGAAAGATTGAGCTCTCTGAAATATAATTGTTCGCCTGGACCTGATGGAATTCCCTCATGTGTATTTATATCTTGTGCTGGCGAGCTTTGTGATGTTATCTCAAAGATTTTTAATACGTCTTTGAATTTAGGTGTTTTCCCTTTGTGTTGGAAGACTTATTTCCTTATTCCTATTCACAAAAGTGGTAGTAGGCAACTTGAAGAGAACTACAGAGGCATTGCCAAGTTGAGTGTCTTACCTAAACTGTTCGAGCGAATTGTGGCTCAGCATATAGCCTTTTCCATGAAATTGTATATTTCTCCTTTCCAGCATGGTTTTCGAAAGGGAAGATCTACGGTGACCAATCTGTTAGAGTTTACTTCTCATGTTTTCAAGGCTTTTTCTAGTGATTCTCGCACTGATGTCATTTACACTGACTTAAGCAAAGCGTTTGATATGGTTAATCATAGAGTACTTAGATTTAAACTCTTGACCTCTGGCTTTCCTCTCTTCTTAGTGGAATGGTTAAGCTCTTATCTGCATGGTAGATCATTCAGGGTTTTGTTTAACCTCATTACCTCGGATGAATTCCCCGTGACGTCTGGCGTACCTCAAGGTAGCTACTTGGGACCTATTTTATTTAATTTATACATCAATGATTTCCCCTCCGTGCTTAAATTCAGTGAGATTTTAAAGTATGCTGATGATGTGAAACTGTTTTCTTCTTTTTCCGTAGAATCGCAATCACATCATCTTCAAAGTGATTTGAACAATTTGGTTGCATGGTGCTCTCTCAATCTTCTGAAACTAAATCTAAATAAATGTAAGAAGCTTTCTTTCTTAAGAAGGAAGTCGTTCAGTAGTCAATACTTCATTGATTCGCACAGGTTGGAAGACGTCGATTCGTTCATAGATTTAGGCGTTCTATTCGATTATAGGTTACGTTTCAATTTGCATATTGAATCCTCGTTAAGCAAAGCTAGGTCCGCGCTTGGTTTTATAAAGAGGTGGTCCAAAGAGCTTGATCATCCTTATATTACGAAAAGGTTTTACACGTGTTTGGTTAGACATATACTTGAGTATGCCTCTGTTGTGTGGTCTCCTTCATATAGGTGCTACGCAATTCTTGCTGTTTGCCCTTAGGAATTTGGGTTGGGAGCCGATTTCCCCTCTTCCACCCTATGAAAATAGGTTGCTTATGTTATCCTTACCGTCACTCGAGAAACGTAGATTTGTTCTTGGGGTTTCCTTCTTAATCAAATTAATAAATGGTGCAATTGACTCGCCCGCATTACTTCGTGAGATAGGCTTTAATGTCCCTAACCGTTTCTCTAGGCACTTCATGTTGATAAAGCTTAGTCAATGCAAATATAATCAGAGTTGCTTGCAAGAACCTAAATGACGTCTATCTATTCTCATTAACGGACTCTTTAAAGTCCATTAAAGCAACATTGCTTAATACGCGCGATTTACCTATGTCGTACTTAAACTGACTTAACCTTAAATATGTCATTATGAGTCGAAAATTAATTTGTTGTTAATAATTATCGGTTGCCAAGCTTTTGCATGTTTGCGATGGCTTAGGGGTTCACTTGCAATTTGGTCCTGTACCGGTTGTGGGTGTGGCTCTATGCTAGTTGTGTACCTGCTTTTTTTTTTTTTTTTTCTTTTTTTTCCTCCTTATTTGTTTTATTGTACTTATACTAAGTTTTATTATTAATTAATTTTAAGATTTACTTAAGAGTCAATTGAACTCGACTGCCATTTTGTTTTAGTTGAGTTTCTTGTATAAGTGGAATAAATAAATAAATAAAAAAGGGCTCTTTCGAAAACTGGTCATTCACCAGATATAACATTGAGCTGACCTGACTAGAGATTTGTAAACGGTCAAAGCATTTTTGGGAGGCAAGCCTGCCTGATTGTTTGTCATGAGTTTGATGATGCTGCATCCAGACTGACAATCTTTGAACGCCTTTTCATAATGCCCACGAAGGGTTAAGCTGTCATTTAAAATTCTCCCAAGAAATCGAAGAGATTTTACCTGATTAACTTGGGTAACTTTGATAAGAAGTCTGATTTCACGTTTAGAACCTTTGGCAAAATAAATAGTGTTTGTCTTGCTGGGGTTCAAATATAAATTAAGATCAGCGCATGCATCGAAAAACAAGTTCGCTTTCATCGAGAGGTTATTGACAGCTGCTGGAAAAGATGAGTCCGCAGATACGATTAGAAAATCGTCTGCATATTGAAAAATGTGAGTTTTGTCATCTTGAAGATCATGCAAAGAAGTTGCGTATAAATTGAAGAGTATGGGGCTTAAACAACTGCCTTGTGGGATACCACCGCATATTTCAACTTTTTCGGTACCCATCACCAACACACGCTTGCCAACCTTTTCAATTGCAGGCATGCCAACCCGTTATATTCGTAATTATTGCTTTAGTTTATTATTGCTTTACAAAAACACATAAAAGGTGTGCAAACAAATTCTGTCCACGTTTTGATAAAATTCGACTCTATTTCAAATATCCCCTTTGCATATCGTAATAATCGAAATATCCACCATTATCGCACATCATAAGCTTATCTGCTAAATATGAGTGTAACGATCTGAACTACTACACATCAAAATTAGCAAGCTCTAGAAGCTGACGACCAATTCATGGATTGCTTTTGCTGGAAACAAGCGGACGGACGTATGCAAATTTTTATCGTTTGCAATACTAGCATTTTTCACACATTTTCTTTTTCAGTCCAAGCCTAATCATTTCTGTAGCTTCAGTTGCATTTTTTCTCACCCTAATCCAGTTAAGAAGAGAGAAAAACTCAAAAAACGTAATTGATATGCGCATCTTTGCACTTTGATATACGCTAAACGGCACTTTGTAAGCAACTGAAACTTCTGCCATACAAACGCCATTATCTAATACTCAATATATCACGAATAAATAACGTACGTTTTATGAAGCAACCAATTTCAAAGGACAGAATTTACTTGCGCACCTAATATATTAATTTATTACCTATATAGGTAATTATATATATAATTAAAAATTGTCAATATTCATAAAAATTATGGATGCATACAATTGTATACATTATAGCTTAAATATTAAAAAAGTATTTAAAAATCTCGAAAGCAATTACCGTTAATCACGTTGACTGTAACACTGGCTAGCTCAGCTGTAGTAGGCATGCAAGTGTAATTCCCTGTATCGGCCAACTGAACGTTCGATATGCGGAGCCTAGAAGAAAACCATTTTAAAGGAAAAAACGAAAGAAGTAAGGGACTGTAGTTACTATGAAAAAATTTTTCCAAATATCTAACAACTTTATATTTACCGCGCCCATCAATTTGACGGGTTTACGATTTTAAGCTTACAAATTTTGCATAAAGAAATAGATATCTTTAAATACTGTGTAATGGTTTTCAATGATATAATGCAACAAATGTTGTATTGATGAATCGTCACACTCGGAAAAATGACTATAGAAAACTGAGATCAAGGACAAAAGTTCCTTGATCGTTTAAGAATAAGAGGTTAAAAAATGGGCGCGATTTGTTCATGCTCTTCCAATTTAGAAGAAACTAAAACAATCTCAGAAAATGAACGAGATTTTTTCCAAATTTTCGTCTATTGTATATAACTTTCTGTCCACTGAATATATTTCTGAAAAGTGTTCTAAGTATTCAGCAGCTGCATGTTCGTTCGAAAAATGGTCCCGATCGGTTTATTAATATGTCCACAATTAAAAATAAAATCCAGTTGGATTTGACTCATTTTAACACAAAAAATGAATATTATCTTCATGAACATCTGCAAAAACAACTATACCCCATACACTGCTAGGTTTTCTCGTAATTGAAAAATTTACGTAAGAATGACTACAAGGTTCACGCGTTGAATTGATACCATAATCAAAAAGTTTTATAGGCATTTCGTTTGTCGTTAATTTGGCTCTCCAAACGAAAAGCCTGTGCACTGTGACCCGATGGCAGTTTAATCGTTTTTTTCCCTCTTCTAAGTTTTCGTAAACGCTCACTCCCTCATTAAGGCATCGCAATAGCCAAAGTCTTGTGTATTTAGATACGCAACAAGTGAAAATTCCCAGCCTACGAACATGGATGATAGCTAATTGCAAATGCTGTTTTGTAACAAAAACAGGAGCATTAACAGCAGCAACAACAAAGAAACATGTTTAATTATCTCCTAGTTTCTGGTGTGGCATTAACGAAACTACGAACGGACTAAAGATGAATAAAAGAAGTGCGTTTGCTTTATAATGCTGTGTTTAGTTATGCCAAACACAAAGGGATGCATGTAAAACACATAAACACGCATAGCGGCGCGCACACTCGCACCCATTACTAATACTAAAGTTTTATGCAAGAAGCAAATACGGCTAAAATTGTTTATTGGCGCCTATCAATGGTAGCACATGTGTCATGCACATGAACATATTTGTGTGTGAATGTATGCGTGTCAACATTATATCGACAACGAGAAACCATGTTTTTAACGAAATGCAGGCCGTCGTGCTGCAACCCTTCACATAGACGTTCAGCGTTCGTAAGTTGCGGTACCTGCTTTGCAATTTATCGCCCAACTTTGATTCCATTGAAATGCGTTGCATATCGATGGCTGCATCATTGGGATGCACTGCAAACGGTGTTAGTATATAAGGTCCACGATACCAGTGTATTGGTCCAATGTCATGCATTGAAGAGGGCTGCTTAACATGACAAGTCAATGTTATGGCACTGCCAACCTTAACGTACAAATCCATCGGACCGGAAATGAAGGCTTTTGCATCCGGCGGTGTTACTTAAAAGATGAACGTAATAAAGGAGAATACAAATACGTTTTGAATATTTATTAAAGAACTTACAACTTACCGACAACATTCAATCGAAATGCCATTGATATCTTTGGCTCAGTATTCACTTGACATTCATAAATGCCGCTGTCTCGTGGTTGGGCATATCTTATGTGTAATGACCAGTTTTTCGAACCACCCGTTCTGACAACCTTTACATATAAGATAAATGCAAATACAACAGAAATAAATAAAATTTGTGCTCTTAAACGTTGAAGCGTCTTAAGCACTTTCTCGCGCTTTTTTACCTTGAAACGTTCGTCTGAGGTATAGGTTAAAATGCCCGCCGTTAAAATATGCAAATCTCGTTTACGTATCCAGGAGACCTTATGACGTTAGCATTGAAGAAAGAAATAAGAAAACAAATCAGAACATAAACCAACGAAATAAAAGCAACGAAAACAATTAAGAAATATGTTAATGAAGTTGCGAACGAACAGATTTCGGTATTACGTTTATGTTCATGGGCAAGAGGTCAAGATGTATTAGGCTTGTCCTTCCGCTAGTACTACCGAGAATTGTAACGTAAACTTTTAAAATATATACACATCCCTAGTCTGCAAAAAATTTCAAAGGTCACATATGCGAAGCGTTATTCTTAATCTACTCTTGCAAAGCCTTATCGTCAAATTAGGATGGAAAATTAAAACTTGGCATGTCCGCCCACGACTGAAGACCGCCCATTGAATATAGAAACCGAATTGAACCTTTTGACTTACACTTACTTTTGACGACATAAAGTGTCTTGGAATTGTGTTATTCCGACTTTCTCTATTTGTAAATCCACAACCAAATGGACATGAATTCAGAACGAAAATCACACATATTTACCGTCTAAGTATTTCGTGTACCAAAAGAGTTCATGCGGTCCAAAGATCAGGCGGTCATTATTAAGTCCGCGTCCAGGTACTTACCTGTTGAAGATCAAACAAAAAACTATTCGTTAACTAAGTTTCGCGAAATATTTTCGCCGACGACGTTGCCTCACTCGCTTGTAATACATAACCTGTATTCTTCGTTTTTTTTCGAAATTTTCGTTTTAGAAATCATGTTTGAAATACAATTGAATTTCAAGGCCTCTATATTTTTTGCTTGAACTTTTGGCTCGCTATCAACTTTCCCGTAATGAGAGGACAAGCAAGTTACATTTTTCGCATATAGCGAAATTTCTTTGAAAATTTTGTTGCTTTAATTTATTGTTGTTGTCGACGCATATGAGAAAATCGCATTGGAGGCGAACGCGATTTCCCTTTTCTAATTAGATGGGAAAGATAGGAAAGGATGGCGAAGCATTGAGCTTAACGATAGGAATAGATTTAGTTAGCTCAGCTTATTGTTAGCAAATAAACCAGATGGTTAGACAATCCCTATAGACTAAAGGCCGCAACCACAACTCGAGTATTAGATTTATTTAATGTGTATGGCCAATAAACGTACTCTGTGGAGTGTTGAGACCTATCTTTATATCTAATTATTCATTTTAGGAATGATAAAAATCACAGCCATCACGACAATGTTCGAAGCTCCTTACGCAATAGTCGGGACTCGCTACCTCCATTCCTAAGAACTTGCTCTACTAGGAGATAGGTAGCAAGTGGACCCCTGACTCCACAGATATAGATATATTAGGCTTGTGCATTGATTGGAAAATAGTATTTCTGGCGTGATAATTAAATGTAGGAGTTTTAAACGGAAAGAGTCAATTCTTTGAAGTGTGCTTCCGCATAAAAGTTCTGAGGTAACATAAATTTTTATTTGTACCAGCGAGTTATAATTTTTAATATTTTACTATATTAAGATGGGACTACGTAGGTACATAAGTGTATTTTTGGGCCGACTTCCGTGCTTCTCATGGCTTCAATGAGCTTGAAGGAATAAATGGGTTTCGAATTTTGTCAAGATTCAAAATGTAAATATTTCTTAACTATCTTTTATATAATAACTCACCGACTTATCACCTAAATTTTCTACGCGACAAGTAATGGCTGCCGTTTGACCCGAACGTGCCGTTATGTTGCGAGGCATGCCAAAGTCAAAATATGGCGGTCGTGATGGTAGCTTTAAGAAATCCTTATTAAGTCCGTCATGCTCCCCTTTTAATCCGGTTGTTAATATTTGTTTATGCCGACGTTGATAATGCGGTTGCTTCCTCTGTTGCTGACCGTTTAAACGATTAAAATTCACGTCTACGATATGGTCGTTTTCTTTGTTGTTCTCATCTTTTTTATTATTCATCATGTTAAGGAACAGCAAGTGGTTATGTGTCAACGATTGAGCACTTCTTGGGGAGGTGTCCTCAATTGTGTATTGGTTTTGCCGTTCTTGCTGTGGCAATGTGACGGTGCCTATGAAAAATGAAAATAAAAGTAGAAAAAATGAAGGAAAATTATTTTTGTCATTTATTGGTGTTTGTTTCAGATTGGACCCTCTGCACAACTGTGAAATATTTGACTGATGTGCTTGTATGCATTGTTCGTTTAAAATGCAAACAATGAATGAAATGCTAATGAAAATCCAACATAGAAATTTCATTGTGATAAAGATAATGAGTTGTCATAAAAATAAGAACAATCAAAAGATTTATAAACTATATGTATGCATTCATTTAATAGCTGAAAGCTGGCGGTGTCTTCATTTTTATTTCTTCTGAACAGGAAGGCATAATTAATGCATTTCGAAATTGATAAAATTTGCCTTCAAGGCCAAAAGACAGGAAACTATGTCATTTTATTCTTTTCGCATTAATCTTAAACAGGGTTCATTAAAAACTTTGTCTGGAAATAGTCTCAGTTTGTTTCGCGAAGTTTGTCCATACGTGCAGAGATGGCGGATCAGAAGAATTCATTCTAAAGTGAATGTAACTTTTTTATCCAACTTTAACGCTTAAATCTTAAACACTAACACGCTAACAGAGGGCTATATGGACAGAAACTGAGACGTGAGCAAGCATACCTTTAAGCTCGAGTTGATTGTGAATTGTTTATAAACCAGAGAGTAAGGAAGAAAACCGATCATCACATATTCGATTTTGTAACGTTAAGAAATGATCAGATTATCACCGTTCCCTTTATAAATGGGGCCCGGCCGACACTCTGTCCTTTCCAAGTGTAAGATAATACATGTTTTTATTGAGGAACGCCGTCGTACCCAAGTTATTCTTTTTGCCGAATAGATCAGAAGACTGTTTTCGTCCACTTATGAGCTAATTAAACGTTGGGTGGCTGGGCGATTTACTTTTACATATCGTTCTACATTCCGTTCTGTTATGTCTCTTTTCATAAATCCAACCGATCAACACTAAAATGTAGCAAATACCTCATCAACTTTTAGCAAAACACATTTAAACATACTTTAAAGGAAAATGGATGAAGTTTGCAAGCGTCAATGATACGAGAATTTTGAGAAACAAATCTTCGAGTAAAACGTCTTCACCTTTCAACTGTTTTAGTGATTTCTATTTCACCTCTAATTCGCGCCAAATAATTTTTTTAATGACTTTGGATAATGTCACAGGGATTGTGCTTTCACATCGCTGCGCTTACCGAATGAACTCAAAACACTTCTAGCCGTGCCAGATTCGAAGAGCACACCTTTTGACGCATTTAATATTTTTTCACATCATAATCACGTTCTTTTGTCGGTTTTTGTGTTCAACACAATAAAAGAAAAAAAAAGGCACTAGTGAAGAAAACAAAGACTTAACAGAAGTTAATGCTTTTTTACCTGCTTGATATTATTAACAACAATTTGGAAATTGAAACAATGTAATCGCAATAAAAGAAAGAAATATTATGAATGGCAACGAGAACATAGGAGATATAAATATTAAAACTTGAGCGTATTTAAAAATATATAGAAGAACAATGTCTAAAGTTAAAGAAGCTTTTTGTGTATGTATATGTATCCGTCGTGTTCTAAAGTATCCAAAGAATACTTTTGCAACGATGCAGCCAACCCACTGTCACTTATAACATTACAGCTAATAATAGTATAGTTGTAGTTTCATACTCGAGCAGCCATTACTCGAGGGGCCCCATTCGAACATGCCATTTAATAAACGCATACCAAAGGGTCAAAATTGTTGCAATCATTTATCTACTTACGTATTTGTTTTGTAAGGAACAAAATTCTTCTCTTTCTGCATTGTAGGTAGCTAAACAGCTTTCAGAGTCAACTCCTACGTACATTTATCTCTTGTGAAATCTCATTGCAATGGTCTAGGACGAGTGAGGACACTAAACAGTTCTCTTCCCAGTACGTTACAGAGTTCGCAGATTTATTTAAACTCACGTATTTTAGTTTAAATTTCATTTCACTAAGTTGACTACCTGCTTATCTTCGATATTTAGATTGCAATATACATGCAAACATACTATTATCGTATTATTCAATTGTTAAATCTAACAAATACATTAATAATCTACTATTATGAAATACCTTTACATCACTATCGAAAATCCTCGAAGCGTGTGAAGACTTAAACGCACTTCTACATGAGTTCTCAATTAACATAAGAGAAAAGCAAGAGTGCGTCTGCTCTTCTTGGTGGTCGAGGGCATCTAAAGTCAACGTGTTCCCGCCCTTGTCAGCGTTCAACGCAAAATAAAAATAGTGACTCCTCCGCTTACTTTTACACTCATCCACCGATTCACGCCACTTTGACGTTGACTAGTGTGCGATAGCAAGTTGGGCTTGGCACTCGCAACCAGAAAATACCTGATTTTGACTGATGCTAAATGTTAGTACAAATAAGCCCATTGTCTGTCCAGCGTATCTTACTAAACATAATATACGTACACCATCGTCTGAACACCATCATACGCTGCTCATAAGTTTTGTATTTATGGTTTTCGTGACTTAAGAGTCTCGTTCTATAGCAAGACCGATATTGCAGGTTTTCACAGCAACCAATGCTCAGGGATATTACATCGTGTATAAAGAAAGTCGCACAAGCTATGACAAGAAAACGCATTGCTTTCTCTTATTAGTGGTGACTGGTGAATGGTCACAACACAAGAATACTTACTCAATGTCAAAAATGTATAACGGTTTTTGTCCTCCTAGCTTAGTACACATATACAAGGACCTTCGGAACGACCTAATAGGGTAAATGCTTGATTTCTCTGCTGTAAGGCAAAACTCCTGTTCAAATGCAATCCAAATCTTAATACGTACGTACACCTACAATGTTATGTACTTAGCTCTTTGCTTCGTTAGGTGTTCTAATAAGAATTTCAAACTCATTATCAAGGGATTAAAATCTCTTTTTATCTGTTCGCTTATCAATTTAGAGGATTTCCTGGGAAATCTTTTTGAGGAAGTTGAGTTTGAAGAAAGACACAAATTATATTTATATCAATGAGTAATAAGGATGTACTAGTTTTATCGTGTCTTTTGGGGCATTCCGAAGGTATGCAAGATATATCCCAAGATACGTTCGTCAGTTAATTCGACTACAATCTAACTATTATTGTCATCTGTAAGAGATGGGCTGAGAATCAAAGACTTCAAAACTCTGTTCCCAGTGATTGAAAATAAGAATTAAAACTATGCTAATAAGCTTAATTTAGGTCAACCACTTCCCTGAGCAGAAAGGGAAAGTAACGAAAGAATGCCTAAATGTTTTGAGGCTTTTACGTTGTTCCTTAAATATACTATTGCGCGATCGAAATTCTTGAAATTAACTCAAGAGATCAGAAGGCGAAGAAGGGAAAAGGACGAGTAATTGGGCACAATTCCAATCAATTCAAAAAATTGTTAAAAACAGTTGCCATAAGCAGACTTTGAATTTGTTTGGTTTCTTTGAAAGGCATTTTCGTATAGACTCATGCTCTCATGCTCCACGAAAATATTTTACTTTTTTTAATATGAACGGAGTAGGTTTTCAAATTCAATTAAATACTAATTTTAAATATTTAACAGAGCTCTTATCTTTATCTCTTTATCTTCACACCCTTTAAAAGAAGGTGGATCAACGGACAAAGAAACATATTGAAGGACTAAAAGCTCTTAAAGTAAAACATCTGAGGTTATCGGCTTCATTGAAGAACTTACCGCTTTTGAGATTTGAACCCACGACAAATGAATTGTTAGTCGAGATGCTTAGTCTACTCCGCCAATCAAGCAGATACATTCCAAGAATTGATGCACATCCTACGAAGTCTTCAAGATTTGGAATTTGTATGTTACCGCCAGAGTAGCATTCCACTAAGTATGTATGTACACTACTAGTATGCTAAGTACTATGCTACTAAGTTTGATGACGGAAATAAAATTCAAATTTTAAACAAATCTTAAGTAGAATTTTTAGGTTGTGTTTTCCTGAAGGTAATACATCTAAGATTTAAATAAAATTTAATTTCATTTAAATGTCATGTATTTGGGATTATTATTCCCAAAAAAAAAAAAAAACTATCGGAACTGCTTGAATAAATTTTTGTCATTTTCATGAAACATGTTTTCTTATATGATATTGAAGTCAATAGACACATGGATTTTGTTGCGTTATTCTCTAATGGAATCGGTACATAGGTCATAATGTATGGCAAGTACAAAAATTATATTTGAATTAATACGGAGCCACTGTCGGCTATATCTGTGACCATAGTCCAATAACCGCGAAGTTTCTTCCTTTTTGTTGACGTACCAATAGGCTGATTATTCTTTAATAAAATTTTGTAACAAATTTTATACCATTACGTACTATGTATGACTTGTAAGTTATATATATATATCTAGTTATATATATGTATAAATAAATAAATAACAATATAAATTGTTACGGAAATCCCCAATCTAGGCGTTTTCTACAACCAAATGTACATTCGCGAGGCGTCATGCAGCTGCAGACCAATAAAAGCGATTAGCGGAAAAGCAGATAGGTAAAAACAAAGTGCATATTCGCAAGCGAGTCATGCAGCTGCAGACCGATGAACGGTTACCAACGAAAGCAAGTTAACGAGTTAAAAATCAAGTCATAAAATTAGGTAATAGTAATATGATGGCAAAAAAGTATATAAATAGAATATTTGTTAAAGACAGGAGAGCAGAAAAAGAATATTTGAGTTAAGCAGTCGAAAGTATTGTCAAAAATAATTTGTAAATAATCCTACATTAAAAGAAATATAATTGTAAATAGAAGAACTTTGAAGTGTATTTCTCTTGATCAAAATATCTGCAATCTAGTGATACGGACTGTATCTTATAAAAGCGAATTTCATAACAATGCATGTTGTAACTTATATAATTTTATAATATTATGAATCTGCCAATTTTTATTGTTGTAGTTGTTCTTTCAATCTTCGTGCACTTTAGCGGTACATATGGATACGTTACGCCATTGATG